CTTTTATCTTCAACATTTATATTAATTAATTAATAATAATAATGAAGGGTCATTTAGGTCATTTAAAACATTATACAATTCCAAAAAAAAAAAAAAAACAGTACCATATATTAATGTTTTATATGTAGAAGTGTATGAAGGGGGTTTGTGAGGGTTGCTATTTCGAATTAATAAATATCACAACCAAATAACAACAACAATAAAAATTAAATTTAATTAAAAAAAGAAAAAAAGAAAAAAAACTTTATTTTTATTTTGTATTATTATTTTGTTTTCTAAAATTGTAAAATAAAAAATAAAACCTAAAAAAAAAGATATTTTTTTAAATCATTTATTTTATTTTTGTGGTGATTTTCGTTTATGAAATTTTTTTTTTTTATTATTTACGGTTAAAAAAAAAAATAGTGGTTTGAAAGCAAAATTAATCACACACACATTTCTATGCATATTTTAAAACTTTAATTTATTAAATTATTTATATATATGTATAATATGTAAATTATATAATGGAATCATAAAATAAAATCAAAATTTGACGAAGAATTTTAAATATCACAAGAAATTTTGATTTTTTTATTTTTTTTTATTTTTTATTTTTTATTATTTTTTATTATTTTTTATTTCTTTTTTATTTTTTATTCATAATGAAATATTTAAATTATGAAATCCATACATCAAATCACAAAGAATAGTGTGTGATTAATTTTGCATTTAAACACCTTTTTTAAAATTTTTTTTTTTTTAAATTTTTTTAAAATTTTTTTTTAAAAAAATAATTTTTTTTTTTTTTGTAATTTTTTTAAAAAAATTTTTAATGGGTGTTTTTTTTTTTTTTTGATTTAAAAAATAATAATAGAATATTTTATAATAATTGAATATAGATGATAAAAATATAAATTCAATCATTATCATCATCCAATTTGTTTGAAAAATTAAATTAAAAAATTAAATTAAAATAATTACCCCATTTTTTTTTAAACACAACACAAAATAAAACACACACAATAATTTTTTTTTATCAATTTAATTTTTTAAAATAACATTCAAATAAAGTTATATAAATAATAAAAAGTTATATAAAATAAAAATAAAAATAAAACACAATCAAGACAGTAGCAAATATATTAAAGTATTAAAATAATAATTAAATTTTTTTATTTTTTTTTTATTTTATTTTTTTTATTTAATTATCAATCATAATAAAATATATTTTTTTAAATCAACAATCTTTTAAATCATTTAATAATTTATATTAAGCGCATATAATAATAATAGTAATAATAGTTATAAAATAATAATATTATAATCTATATTCAAAATCAATTAATTCATTTAATTGATAAATTTTACCAATATGGTTGTATCAATTATACCACATAGTAATAAAAATAATAATAATAGTAATAATAATAAGAATAATGGTACAAATAATACTATAAATAATTCTCTTATTCCAAATAATAGTAATAATAATAACCATAATAATTTATCATCAAATACAACAACTATTACAACTGTAAAAAAGACTAATGTAATAACAGATAAAAATGAAATTATTATTGAAGAAGAAAATGAAATCTTATCAACAGAAGATAACAGTAGCGAAGAAGAGGAAGAGTACGATGACGACGAAGATGATGACGAAGAAGATGATGACGACGAAGAATACAAAAGTAAAATGAATCCAAAATTATTAAGAAGAAATGATAGTGTATCAAAATATAGAGCTAAAAAACTGTTAGAGGCGATTCAACAGCAGCAACAAGAGCAAAAAGAGTCATCAGGATCGGTATCACCACATTCACCATCATCACCAACATCAAAAGTAAACCATGGTTTAATGATCTCATCACCAACATCGTTGTCACCACCACAGTCACCACATTTATCACCAGAGTCTAATTCAATTAAAGAGAAAAGAGTTCATTTGACACCGCCAGTATCACCATTGGGAGGTAGAAAGAATAGTGGCTCAAATAGAACAAATATTGTATCATTAGCTGATTCGCAAGTAATCTTTTCAAAGGTTGAGAACTCGACTACTAAAATCACAGCATCCAATAATTTAACAGCTGCAATTATCGTAGAGAGTGCCATTAACGAAATTACAACCTCTGCAAATTTAACAAGCCCATCTCAAAATTTATGTTCAATGTCAATCGATATTGATTCAATGTGTAATAATAGTAATATAAATAATAATAAAATTATTTCTTCAACAAACCATTCAACCACCACCACCACAACTACAACCACCACAACTACTACTGGAGCAACAGCAGCAACAGCAACAGCAACAGCAACAACAACCACCACCACTACAACAAGATCTGATAATTTAACAGTACCAGCTATTGTTATACCACCAAGCTCAATTCAAGAAAATAAAAAGAAAAGACAATCATTGGATTCAGATGACGAAGAGTTTGGCTATGATGATAATTTAACTTTTAAATTAATCGATTTACATAGACGTAGTCCAAGAGGTGACGGCCTAAAACCAATCAATAACCCAATTCCAAAAAGACCGGTACTCCAAGTTGATCCATCACAAGAGATGATTAACATCGCCTTAATAGCTTTACGTACCTCTTTAAGAATAGGTTTTGATAAATTGGATGTTCTTACCCAACCACAATTTGAACATTTTAAAAAATATAAGATTTCAATGTCGGAAAGAAAGAGCACCATCAAAGATTTTTCACCAAACGTTTTTCAAGTTTTAAGAAATAGATTAGGAATTGATCAAACTGAATTTTTAAAGTCATGGTCATCTTTTGTATTGGATTTCCAAGAGAAAAATAATAGTAGTAATAATAGCGCAAATAGTAACAATAGTAATAAATCAAATGCAACATCACCAAATATAACATCAACTGCACCAAATGTACAACCATCTAATATACAAAATATTAATCAACCATCTTCTTCATTCTCTTCATCCTCATCATCAGAGTCATTCACTTTATATTCATCAGATAGAAAATATATTATGAAAACCATTTCAAAATCAGATTCAATTAGGATAAGAAAATTGTTACCACATTATTATAATTATTTAGTCGGTAATCCAAATGCATTTTTAGAAAAATATTTAGGTTTATATAGAGTTGGTAATAGTTCAAGTCATGCTTATGTTGTGTTATTATCAAATCCATTCGATCAAAACTATTCAATACCAGATTCTTATATATATGTAATATCATCAATTTATTTTTTTCAATTATTTTAATTAGATAATAGTATATTAATTGGCTTTTCTCTTTAAAACTTTAGAACGGTTTAACCAGAACAGGTGGTGACTCGCCATCAACTCCATCTCCACAACTTGGAAGAAAGAAACAACAGAATCAACAAAAGTCTTTAAGTTTAAATTTAGATATTATAACTAGAGTACCAATGTTTAAACAAATCGAAAAAGATATAACGGTAAGTGTTTTTTTATTTTCAAATTATAATTTTTAAAAAATGTGTTCATATTAATAATTTTTTCTTTTTTAAATTTAGTTTTTATCAAGCCAAGATTTTATGGAATATAACTTGGTAATTGGAGTAAAGAAAATTAAAAAAGAACAATTTGAAGTAAATAATAATAATAACAATAATAATATTAGTAATAGTAGTAGTAGCATTAGTAGCAATGTTAGCAGTGTTAATAATTTAAATGTTTCAGCAGATTCAATTAATAACCCAGGTAATATTGTAAATCAATTAAATAGTTTTTCCATTACTTCATCATCAAACGGTCAAATAACACCAAGAAGTATAAATAATAGTGGTGTTAATAATAATATTAATAATAATAATAATCAAATTAATGGTGAAAACTCTCCATCAAATAATAGTGGATCAAATACACCAATTCAAGGATCACCAAGATACAGTACCGAGCCAATTAAGGCTATACCAAGATTATTGTATTTTTTAGAAGATGTAGAAAATGTTACAAAATCAAATAATTTAAAAATTTCCAAATCATTAAAGAAGGCATTCTCAACATTACCAAGATCATGGTCATTGGAGGAGATTATTAATCTTGAAGATAATACACCAATTATATTAAATCAATCAAATCCAAATCCACCACTTTCATCACATAACAATCTATATCCAGTTCCTTCATCAACTATTAGTGCTCCACCATCACCAATAATTAGTTCATCTTCATCAACTTCACCAAATATTTTTTCAAACAATAATAATAGATTAAATATAAACACTAAAAATCATAGTTTTAATAACTTAAAATCATCTCAAGCTGTTGGTTCTGGTCATGTTTTAAATACTCCATTAGGCCAAAAATATCATGGTGGATTTTTATCAAATTGTTTCAAGTCGTCAAATGCTAACAACAGTATAGAAAATATTTCACCACTTTCAATATCACCAGCTTTCCCATTATCACCAAATATGACAAGTAGTAATCCAAATAATAACAACAGTAATGATGATTATTATGAACTTTATTATGTAACAATTACAGATATTTATATACCCCCAAAAATCAATTTAGATAAAAAGAGATTAACAACAATTAAATTTGGTGGTAATCCAAACTTATATTTAAAGAGATTTTTAACAAATATTAAAGACGTATTTAATCATTAATAACCGTAGAAACACAACAAATAGTCACTATAAAATAAATTAATAAAACATTTAATAATAGTTTTTATTTTCAAAAAGAAAGAAAATTATTATTTTTATATAGCCCACAAAAAAAAAAAAAAAAAAAAAAAGGTTTATTTTTATTATATTTACACATTTTATTAAAATAAATAAAATGAATCGAATAGTTGAATTATTTTATTAATTTCATCATAAAATGATTTATCGTTCATTTGGGTTTGGTTGGAAATTAGATTATGAAGATGCGGAATAGGATGATGTTTTTGTAGCAGTAATTTCCACTTATTGAATCTTTCTTTGTAAATAGCTAAACTCTTGGCAATATAATCTTCAGATATCTTAAAATCGTCTTGGATGTTTGGCGCTGAAAACTGAATTAATAGTGATTGAATAATTAAAGGTTTTAAAATTGAATTGTTACTTTCAAAATTAAATCTAAAACTATTTTTTTCATTTTGTTCGATTCTAAATTTAACTATATCTTTATATGGCGTTTGAAATTCCAATGCTAATTCGTTATAATTGGTGATATTGGTATTGGGGTTATTTGGTTTGTTAAATATTAAATTTAAAAATTGTTGATAGTTTTGATGCTGTGGATTTTTTTGGTTAACCTGGCCTGTGACAGTTTGATTCGCTAAAATTTCATAGACTATCAATGGATACGAAATAGTGATTGGTTGGGAAATTAAACTCGTCGAGCTTTGTGAAATGTTATTAAAATTATTGATAAAGTTGAAGATTTTAAAAATTGAACCAAAGTTAATCGGATTAAGTATTTGATTCTGAATGATTGATGACATTGGGGATGGCGGAGCTATGTTTAAAAGGTTAAACAGGTGAATTTGTTTCTCTAAAACCAAAATATTTATACCACCAATGTTGGGCTTGCTATTATTATTATTTTTTATATTTGTTTGATATGATAAAAATACAACAAATCTGAATCTATTTAGTGATTTATATTCTAACGGTATTTCAAAGCTAAATGTGGAGTTTGGTTGAAGCTTTTCCATTGGATAGGACAGACTGTTAACTGTTTGGAAAGGAAAGTCATTTGTTGTGAACCTTATCATAAGATTCCAGCCATCGCCTAAATCCATTGTTGATTTGTTTAATAGTGTTAATCTTAAGATAACCAAAAAATCATTATTATTTACACCGCTTCTTAATAAATTGAAAACTGGAGATACCATAACTGTCGTTTTACAAGGAAATAAATATGAAAATTTGTTTCCATTATTCTTTACCACTAGATCTTTTTGATTCTTTAAAAGTTGTTTATATTTTGTAAAAAATATAATTTTTTTATTTACATCTAAAATATTTGAATCAATTTCCTAAAAAAATTAATTTATAAGTATAAAACTCAAGATTATTAAAGTTTACTATAAAAATATTTCTTACTTTAATTTTTAAATCTAATAATTGATGTGAAGTTTGAAAATCATTTAAATAATCTGCAAATTTTGTTGATTTCTTTTTATTTGTTTGTTGGTTTGGTGAGGGTTCGATTTCGTCATCGTTTATATCCATAGTATCTTTGTTATGAATTAATGTATAAAGGTGTATGGTGCCATCAAATGTCAATAATGATATTGTTGTGTACCCTGAATCAATTTCATTCTTGTTTAGTTGAAAATAAATTACATTATTCGGAAAAGAGTAAAAATTAATATATTTTAAATTTTCTATAAAAAAAATAATTAGTATGGTGGAAATTATTATCAAAATGATTTATAAAATAAGATAAAATCTTACTTTTTGTTATAAGTTCTTTTAAGCATAAAATATATATTGTTCCATTCGATAAATAAACCAAAAAGTCTGAAAAAATATCCATAATCGTAATGTTTGTTTGTTTTAGTTGATGTTGATGAGTAGAGCTTTTGTTTGTATTGTCTGATAAGTTTACAATGGTTAGAGTTGACAAAAGGATTGAGATAAAAAGAGTTTTGGGATTGTTTTTGTTGTATAGTTTGAATAGTGAATATGAGTTTGAGGTTTTCTGAAATAATATACTGTAGTCTGCAATTTCACAATTTGAATCTGGTGATGATATGTTTTGAATAGTTTTCTGTCTTTTATCTTTTCTTTCCTTATATTCTAGAGATAGTTTAAGAGATTCTATATTAAAAACTTTTAAAATTGGATTATTTACTATATTATTTTGATAATCATTAATATTATTATTAATGCTGTTGTCGTTGGTAAATAATAATGGTTTAAATGGATTATTGGGTGTATTTGAGTAATCTAAACAAACAATATTTTTTGATTGAAATATAATTGAAAGTTTTGATTCTAATAATGATTTGGATTCTAAAAACATCGAGTTGCTGTCACAGTTTAATAAGAAGATTAATGAGGAAGTTTTAGATTTTTGTTGCTGCTGTTGTGATGAGTTAGTTATTGGTATACTATTTTCTATATAATACACATATCTAATTGAATCAATAGTATCTATATAGTTGGATGGATAATCATCCAAGACAATAGTATTTATATCTTTTTGTTGATTTTCTTTCTTTTTTTCACCAAGATTTATATTATTTTTTATAAATGAGTCAATATGATTACTTATATTAATGTACCATAGAGAATTATTTGATAAAGGTAATAGTAAATATGTTATTGATTTATCTCTGAATATTATTATATCTCTGATTGAATATTTCGTTTTTATGATCTATATATTAAAAGTATTAATAATCATTCTCTAGTTGTTACTATTTACAGATAAAATAATATAAAACTTACTTTAATTACTTTATAGTTATTATATTCATTTTTATTAAACTCTTTCAATCCAACAAAATAAATATGAATAATATTAGGTATTGTTACTGATATTAAAATTTGATAGTTATTATTATTTAATTTAAATGTTAAAACTTTATTAAATATAGATGATATAGGTAGATTGGGGATTATTGGTGTTTTAATTGATGTTGGGTTTAGTTTTTTATATTCTTCTATTAACTGTTCGTATTGGTTATCATTTCCCACCATTTTTTTTAAAAAAAAAAAAATCGGTAAAATAAATATATATTTATTGTTTGTTATTTATGTGATTCTAATGTGTAATGTTTGGATATTTAAAAAAAAAAAAAAAAAGAGAATTATATTTCTGAATGATCCATTACTTTGAAGTTTTCTTCTAAATTGTATTTTTAAAAAAATAAAAAATTAAATTATTTTTATAAAATAATAATATTAAAAATAAAATAAAAATAATTAAAAATGAAAAAATTTTCATTTTTTTTTTTTATTTTTTTTTATTTTAAAATTTTTTTATTTTATTTTATTTTCTTATTTAATATCACAATAAACTAGGTATAAAATAATATACTATAAATAGAATTCATACATATATAAATGGACGAAATTTTATCAAAACCAGAAGCAGAGACATCATTTACAAATGATTTTAAACAATCATTAAAAAAATTTGGAGTTTCAGAACAAGGAATCGATTTATTGGAAGTAAGTATTAAACAAAGAGAGATATTTGGTTATAGCCGTTAATAATTTTTTATTTAAATATTTATAAATATTAAAATACTAATTATAAAATAATATTTAGAATGATGAATATTTATTTAAAAGAATTGTAACAAGAGAAGAAATTGATAAACAAAATGCATTTTTATTAAAACAAGGCGACTATTTTACAAAATCAATAGAATTAGAAGAGGAAAATATACTATTAAAAGAAAAAATCGAAGCTTTACAAAGGGAATTACAACAAAAAAATGATACAATTATAAAATTAAATAAGGAATTGCATCAATATCAACAAAATAAATAAATATTTTATTAATAATTTTTTATAGTGTATAATAATAATTAATAAATGGATAATAATAATAATAATAATAATAATAAACAATAAAATTAATAATAACAAAATATACGATTGCATAATATAGCTGTACCAGTGCTTGGCCAGGTCTCACTAAATTAACTATTATTATTTGTATAGTTTAAATAAAAAGGAAATAAATGTATATAAAATAAAAATAAATGTTTCATTTTTCGATTTATTATTTATGTATTATTTTTCGATTTATTATGATTTTAAATAATTGTAAATACTTTTTAGATAGCCAAATGTTTTAATACATCTATGAATTGAACCTAAAAATAACTTTAACCAAAGCGGTTGTTCATACATTGGTCCGACTGAATCAAACTCGATAACTGTATTTGGTATTGAACCTTCTTTAAGAGGTTTACTGAATGCCCATAGTTTAATACGAAGAAGAGAGTTGGGTAAAACATTTGGTAGAATAGGTTGGTTAAACGAAAACATTTCTAGATCTGTAACACTACTAGGGATATTATTTGGATGCAATGGATGATTGTATGCACCCAAATAAAGTTTTCTTACACTGTTTGGGATAACATTATTTACTAATGGGTGATTATAACTATGCAATGACAATTCGGTAACTGATGAGGGAATTTGAAAAGGCCCTATTATCTCTGTTCGACAGTGCATTGATAGTTTGGTTACTGATGATGGAATCGATACACCCGGTATTATATCCTCGTTATAGCTATTTAGGTATAATGAAGTCACCGAAAATGGAATCATACCAACTCTATCCAATATTTGACTTGAATTATAACATAAAATTGAAATATAATCCCTATATTTATGATTCATTAATTCATCAATGGACGATACAGATGCCCTTTTATTTAATCTATATAGTTGTAAATGTCTAAAAATTGGTTCTAAAATTAGAATTTGAATGCATTATTTAATTTTCTAAAATACAAGCCTACCTAAATATCTCTTTGTTTAAAAAGCAATTTCTCCAAACTGAAAAAAACAAATTCTCTAATCTATCCATCTTTTTTTAATTAAGTTGCAGTTGTTATTTAATTTAATTTTGGACAAAAAATGATTTAAAAAATTAAAAAAATAAAAATAAAAATAAAAAAAAAAAAATAATAAAAAAAAAGGGTAAAAATTAAACAAAAAAAAAAAGAAAAAAAAAGAAATTTCGTATGGTTGCTTTGCCATTATTATAAAAAACAAATGATTTTCAAAAAAAAAAAAAAAAAAAGTATTTAAATTTATTTTTTATTTATTTACAATTATTTCTTTGAAAATGCTAATGA